GGCTAGGTTTCACTTAGACCTGTCTATACACTCAGTGCATGGAGGCTGAGCAGCAAAGTGATAAGGTAAAAGAAAAAGGATACTAAAAACATAGAATGAAAGAAAAAGAAAAAAAATGTATTTATTTATTTATGTTAAAAAAACAAAAAAAATGAAAATCACACAGTGCACTTACTAGATCTCAGTTTTCGTGGCAGACTCAGTCTTCTTCTGAAGGCCTACTTTTTTGCCTTCCCTAAATGTGAAAGAGAAAAGGGAGGGGATTATTACCAAGAAAAAGGAATATTTCAGAGCCAAGAAAATAAATTACCTTAAAAAACTTTTTAATTTTTTAAGTGAAAAGACAGAGACAGAGAGACAGAAAGAGACAGAGCAAGAACAGAAGGGGCTCTATCCAGATGACTTTGGAGCAGAACATGTTCATTTCTTATTCCCTGAAAGCACTAGCTCTCATCTCTCATGGTGGATTCAGTCTTCTCTAATTTCTCATTTTCTGTCTCTCTGTCTCTCCTATGAGCACACGTGTCCTATAGCAAAAATCTCTCTCAAAAAAAGAAAAATGTGAAGTTTTTTTTTTCCTTAATTTCAGCCTCCATTTTCTATACTCTTCCATTCTGTCATCCAATTCATTCTATTCCCTTTGGGCATCTATTAATATTAAAAATAATATTAATATTGGGAACCAGCAGTTAGCGTAATGGCTATGTCGCTGGACTCCCACGTGTCGACCGCGGTTCGTGTCCCGGACCCGGTGGCTTAGAACTCACGCCTGGTGAGCGCACGCACCCTACAGTGAAAATCTCTCCAAAAAAAAAAATAATATTAATATTTACAATGTTTTATAATGCTTACTATGATCCTCACTCAGAAAATGGGATATGTATTTTACAGTTTCATTTAATTCACAAAGTAATGTTTTAAACTGTATGGTAATATAGCCCTCATTTAACTGATGTGACAAATTAAATTACAGACAGAAAAATATATTAACTGCAATTGGGAAAGTGGAGGGGATGGGTTAATTTTCAATTACTGCTGACTAGAACAATAACCTTATTACCTTATCACCCCTCAACAACTTCCTAGTCTTTAAGCCCTCCTCACTACTGGAATATTAAGAAGATATGCTCTTAGTCTTGTCTCATTATCTCCACTGCCCTTCTTCCATCTCATAGATGTCAGAATCTATCCTCTGATTAAACTAAGAAGGGTACACTCATTCATGTAGGATGTTTGACTCATCAACTCATTATACTTTGATAATAAATTAGTTTCAATGTGTTGTCTCTGCCAAAGATTCCATTTAAGCCTTTAATCTTTATTGATCAAATAAATTTTATGTTTCATAAAGAACTCAAGTATCAGTAACTGATAAAAAAAATCTCTAAAATTAGATATAATTTTATTCATTCAACATTGTTTATTGTAAACTTTATTTTTATAGAATAAATGGTGTATCCTCCTTTTTTTTTTTTTTTTTGGTTTGGAGAGGTTTTCGCTATAGGGTGTGTGTGTTTGCCAGACAGAGAGAGAGACATAGAGAGAGACAGAAAGCAAGAAATCACCCCCCAGGGGGGATGGTCATGCTGCAATCCCTTCTCCATTCTCCTCTTGGGATCTTGGGCATGCACGCACACACGCCCGGCGTGAGTTTTAAGCCACCAGGTCCAGGACACGAACAGCAGTCGACTACGTGGGAGTCCAACGATATAGCCATTATGCTAACTGCTGGTTCCCAGTATATCCTCCTTTATTGGAGTCAGAATTGAGTCCAGTATCTTTCCTGTACTGTAAGACCTCCTAAATACAACTATGCCTAATTTCAATAAAGTCTACTTTACCATCTTCAATAAGTGTTATAAATAATTTTTTCTCTGCAATAGTTCATATGTTGAAGCCCTAACCCTCAGTAAGACTATATTTGAAAATAGTCTTTTAGAAGATAATCAAGGTTAAACAAGGCCATAAGGGTGGGTCCCTCATTTGATAGGACTGGTGTCCTTATAAGAAGAAAGAGACCAGAGTTCATTCCTGGTGCTCTCTTGCTCTTTTACCAAGTGCACGGAGGAAAGGCAATAAGAGGACAGAGAGAAAGAAGGCAGCCTTCTACAAGCCAGGAAGAGAGACCTCATCAGAAATCAACCCTGCTGGAATATTGATCTTGGACTACCAACCTTTAGCACTGTGAGAAAATAAAATTTTGTTGAACTCACCCACTTTAGAATAGTTTATTAGGGCAACTGAGCAGATTAATAGGCTTATTTGCTTATTTGTCAAGCACTGTATTAGGCAACAACAAAATTGAGTAAAGCAGACCCGTCCTTCTCTCAGAATTAATGGAAGTGAGGGAAATACAGCAAAGAAAATATGAACAGTGGCACTAATGATTTTACTCAGGTGCTATGATGGCCTGGAGGAGAAATGATTATTTCCAGAAAGGTTAGATAAGTTTAGGCGACAAAATTGACAGGTTCTATGGCACTAAGAAGTCTTATTCCTAGGAGTAAGGTCCCATGGTGTTAGGGAGGCTCATTGCTAGAAGTCGTCCTTTTTTATAGGCAGTGGAATCTTGTGGGAAGGACATGTCTGACGAACTTTATTTTTTTTTCCTTTCATTTTTTTACTTATTATCATCATAATCTTCTTTATATTATATTGAATCACATGTAACTTTACAGTGTATTACATTTCTTTTTCCAGAACGAATATCATGCATATCAGTCAGTACAGACATTAAAATCCCCATTTCATCATCCAATAGCTTTACATTTTTTCCCCAATTATTATTATTATTACAATTATTTTTAAATAGTCAATCATTATTTATCATTTTTGCTTATAAAAGACTTTATCCAACATGAAATACATCTCAGACCAATCCAGTTGAGAATACTGTACGTGTCATCATCAACAGGTAATAAACCATATCTGTGTCCCACTAATATCATGCCTCTCTATTTGTTTTCTTGCTATCTTTCTCTATACTCTTCTCTTCTGCCCCATTCCACACTGTCTCATCATTGTTAACTATTTTCACTGCTTTTATGTCCTCCAATATTTCTATCTCTACCATAAAGTGTGGATAGTTGTTAGATATTAAGTGGATACATACAATATCTTTCTTTCATATGTTGGCTTACTTCACTCAGCAATAGATCCTTCATATCCGACCACTTTCTATCAAATACCAGGGTCTTGTTTTTTATGGCTGAGTAGTATTCCATAGAGTATATGCCATACCTTTTCAATCCATTCATCTGTTTGTGGACATTTGGGTTGGTTCCATGTCTTGGCAATCAAGAATAATACTGCAATAAACATTGATGTGCAAGCGTTTTTCTGACTGAGGTACTCCTGTCCTTTGGGTAGATACCCATAAGTGGGATTGCTGAATAAAATGGTAGTTCTATTTGTAGATCTTTGAAGAACATCCATATTGTTTTCTACAGTGGCTGAACCAGTTTACATTCCAACCAACAGTGTAGGAGAGTTCCCCTTTCACCACATCCTTGCCAATACTTATCACTTTTTGTATTTTTAATCTTCACCATTCTGACAGAGGTTAGGTGGTATCTCATTGTAGTTTTAATCTGCATCTCCATTATGATGAGGGATATTGAGCATTTCCTCATGTGCTTTTTGGCCGTTCATATATTTATTTTCCTTAGAGAGATTTTTGTGCAGTTCATTTCCCCATTTTAATTGGGTTAATATTTTTTTTTTTTTTGGTAAGCTGCTTGAGGTCCCTGTTTTTCTGGCTATGAGTCTCTTACCTAAGGCATACTTTAAAAGAGTATTCTCCCATTCCAAGGAAATTACCATGTCCTTTGCTTTGCAGAAACTTCTTAATCTGATATAACCCCACTTGTCTATTTTAGGGATTATTACCCCTACTTTGGGAGTCTTACCTAAGAAGTCTTTGCCTACTCTATGTCTCCCAGAGTCTCCCCAGTGTTTTCCACTAGTAATTTTACAGTTTGAGGTCTTAGGTTCAGATCTTTGATCCATTTTGAGTTGATTTTTGTTAATGGTGAAAACCGGGGATTCAGTTTCATTTTTCTGCAGGTAGATACCCAGTTTTCCCAGCACCATTTACTGAAAAGGTTTTATTTTTCCCAATGGATTGATTGGTGTCCTTTGTCAAAAATCAATTGGCTGTAAGTTTTGCAATTTACTTCTGGAGACTCTGTTCTATCAGTCAATCTGTCTGGTTTTTGTGCTGATACCATGCTGTTTTGATAATCACAGCTTTATAGTATATTTTGGGGTCAGGGAGTGAGATGCCACCCACTCCACTCTTCTTGTGCTGGATTGCTTTGGCAACAAGAGATTTTTTATGATTACAGACAAATTCTATGATTGTTTTTTCTAGATTTGTGAAGAATATCTCTGGTATTTTTATTGGAATTGCATTTAATATGTAGATTAATTTGGGTAGAATTGCTATTTTGATTATATTAATTCTTCCAGTCCAATAACATGGAATATCCTTCCACTTTTTTGTGTCATTTTCAATCTTTTTTTAAAAGATTTTCATAATTTTCTTTGTAAAGGCATTTGACTTCCTTAGGTTTATCCTTAGGTATCTTATACATTTTATGGCTATGGTAAGAGGGATTTCTTTCTTTAGATCTTCCTCATTCAACTTGTTGTTCATATACAGAAATGCTATAGAATCTTGGATGTTGATTTTGTATCCTGACACTTTACTGCATTCACTTATTATGTCAAGCAGTTTTTTTCATGGAACCTTTGATTCTTCTAAGTATACCATCATGTCATCTGAAAATAAAGATATTTATGACTCTTCTTTGCCTATTTGCATGCCTTTTTATATTATTCTCTTTTCTCATTGCATTGGCTAAGACTTCCAGCATGGTATTGAAAAGAAGTGGAGAAAGTTTGGGCAGCCTTGTCTAGTACAGTTTTAGTACAGTTTTTTGTTTGTTTGTTTGTTTTGATTTGGTTTGGTTTTTTTGAGAGGTTTTTGCTATATGAAGCATCCACTTGCCAGAAAGACAATTTATGCATGAGTTTAAGTCTCAGTTTACACATAGGGTTTTAACAAGAGTGACTTAAAAACCTGAAAATTATAATATGAAGATGACTTCTTCATAGTTGAAGAGAAATTATTCACTTTATTGTATAAATAATCATTTCAACAAGGATATAAATTAGACATAATTATAAAAACTGGAACATAGGATATTTACATCCAAATATTATTCTATTAATTTGCATTTTAATGATATTCAATGTAAAAAATTTAGGATATTAAAAATAATTTGGGCATCATAATAAAGAATGCAAAGATAGAATTCTGTTTCCTACTCGACAATTCACAAAGATGTATATAAGAAATCCTACATACTGATCTCAGAAACAGAAAAACGTTATATTACCTGTGAACAAACAGTGAAATACTACTGATTGTGCTTTATATGATATTGTTCAAGACACTCTGCATAGGAAGTATGATCAAGATTCATAATTGCACAAATTTGGAAGACCTTACAATTCACATCACATATCACACTGCTATCATAACTCACAAAGAAGTAATTATAGTATTTCATAAACAGCTTACTGTCTAACATTGTAAATTGTTTAGCTAATCCATATAAACTTGTTGGCTGCAAATCTTCAATGTCATATGTCTCAGTCAGGTTGTACTCCAATCTCCAGTTGGATTCTTCCTTTAAATTTGCCTCTGTCAGGTTTAAGTAATACTGCAACATGTCCTACAGTTAAAAAGAATGAAAGTCTGGTTCATTTTTTGGCATGTAAAGCATTGCATAACAAGTGTACTTGTCAAGATTTATGTAACATTCATAATTTAAAGTTGTAGTTATTTTTTTAAAATCTGAAATTGGTTTTAAAGAAAATAGGCTCAATAACAAACTCAATATGACTTTTTAAATTTTTAAAATAATCTCAAATGACTCAAATGATACAGAGAGATGTACAAAATTAAAAGCCTTCAATTTCACACAACTCAGAGGTAACCACAGTCAATATTTCATATAAATCAGTGGTATGCAGACATAGATTGATCAGCTCATAAGAGGTGATTATTAAATTTTCAGGATCATTGGGATTCAGTTAATGTCACATTGGTAGCTTGAAACTGTATATGATGAGAGTATTTCCATCATGGAAATTGGCAAACACTATATATCCAAGAAAGTTTTCCCCCAGTGAACCAGTTATTAAACATTTAGTATCCTTCCAATATATATGTGTTGTTCTAGATTTTATGTACATAACAGAGATTAATATTTAAAATATACATACCTACTTACTTTTTTGTCTTGTTTTCTTTTCAAAAAATGGAGTCATATAAACAGTTTTGTATTTTCAGAAATTATTTAGTGCTATATCAGGAAATTCTATCTTATTACACACACACACACACATACATACACATATATATCTATACACAAATGCACAGATGCATTTCTGTTTATATCTGAGGTTCAGATTTAAAAACAGTATTTTTGGGGTTATGGAAAAGTCACAATGCATTTTTCTATGCAAAAATTGTGACTTTTGCAATGACCCAATAATAGTTATAAAAATATTCTTTGGACTGAGGTCAACAGGTGGTGAGGTAGTGTGGTGGTTAAAGTGCTGGACTCCCATATAGCCGATTGTAGTACAAGTCCCAGACCTGGAGGCTTGCTTTCTCACTTTCCCTCCCTCTTTCTTTCCTCTGTCTCTCTCTGGTGAGAGCACATACCCTATAGCAAACTAAATAACAATAATAATAACTAAAATCAAATAAATAATTCTCTTTTTACAAAAGAATAATCTTATTTAGCTTTCTTTCTTTCTTTATTTATTTATTTATTTAACCAGAGAGGGACAGAGTGAGAGAGAAAGAGAGAAGGAAAGTGAGAAAGTAAGCCTCCAGGTCCTGGACTTGAACCACGGTCAGCCATGTGGGAGTACTGCACCCTTAACCACCATGCCACCTGCCGGCCCAAATAAATAATTCTTTAAAAAACATTCTTTGGGTTAATGTATCACTTAACTGTTTTACTTCTCCATTTAATCAAATGTTTATGGATTAAACCAAATTTCTGCTGCCCTATCTCCTTCTTTTGTTATTCTGGTGAATAGACTTCTGTTTATATTTATTTAGGGAGGCAGCCACTTGCATGGTGGCTAAGGTGACTGGATCCCACATGGCACGAATTGAGTTCCAAACCTGGTGGCTATAAAAACATGTGGGGCACATGTGTCTGCGTGGCCAAAATACCAAAAGAAAAGGGAAATGGAGCAGAAGGGATTTCAGTGCCCGTTCCCCATGGGGGTGCTTTTGCACTTGTCCACTCTCCGTTTATCTCTGGTAAACTCACATTAACTAATCTAAAGCCTGTTCATGTTTTAATAGAGTTCAACTCAAATTTTGTGAAAATGTAGGTTAATTAATTGATTAATTAACTAATTCAGGGAAAAAATGCAATTACAGCAACAATGAGTTTAATTTAAGTGAATTCTTTTCAAATTATATTTGTAAAAAGAAATAGTTCATCCAAACTAAAGTACCCACAAACTAAATGGACAACGTGTATTCAATAAATGCTAAATTATGCTCAAGAACAGAGCCAAGAACATGTTCCAGAGAACCTTTTTCCCTTTATTCATGATACAGCACAGGTAACGAGAGTGAGAGACAGAGACAGGAACACTGTCTGCAGGATCCGGTTACACCATGGTCTCCTTCCCCAGTCCTCCATCCTGATAAATTTTGAACTGCTAGTGTACAAGCTGGTATATTTATTTTTATTTTTTCACATTATTTCTTTATTATTATTATTTTCTTTTTAAAGTTTGTCATAGGGCATGTGCATTCACTAGAGACCTCAGAGAGAGAGAGAGAGAAACCAAGCAACCAAATCCAGGACTTGAACCACAGCTGGCTATATGGGAGTCCAGCACCTTAACCACCACACCACTTGCAGGCCCCCATGCTTGCATATTTAAAGCTGACTGGGCTGAGGATTCGAACTGTGGTCACAATGTGGGATCCAGCATCTCTTGAGCAGCATACTACTACTGCAACACTGAGCTAGCCCTCCAAAGAACTTTGCCTTAAAGGTAAATGGCCAATTAAATTCTTTTTTTCTTTAAGAATATTTGTTGCTCACATTTATTGAGTGCTTAGTACAGACCAAGCAGTTTTGTAAGTGCTTTACCATAGATTAGTTCATGGAATCCACAAAGCAACTCATGAATTCAGTAACATTTTAATTCCCATTTTATGAAGGAATAGACTGGAACACAGAGAAATTTAGTAACACAGCCCACAAGAGAGTATGGTTCCAGGGCCTACAATTTTTATTTTATTTATATACATGTATACATATATATGTATATAAATATATATGCATACATATGTATACACACATACACATATATATGCAAACATGTTTACATATATATGTGTGTGTGTATAGATATAGATAGGTAGATAGATAGGTAGATAGATAGATAAAATATATCATGTAGCGTATCACAGATGGTATAGTGGTTAATCACCAGACTCCCACATGGCCTACTGTAGTTCAAGTCTTGGACCTGGCAGCTTGAAAATCACACTGGGCACTTGTTTGTACATGCCCAAGATCCCAGGAGGAGAATGAAGAAGAGATTGTGGCATGGCCATCCCCCCAGGGGCTGATTTCTCATTTCCCCATCACTGTCTGTCTCTCTCTGGTAAGCACACATGCCCTATCAAAAACCTCTAAATCTATCATCTATATCTATATCTATATCTATCTATCTATCTATCTATCTATCTATATATATATATATATATTTCAGTAGATATATTCTGGAGAGGAGAAATTAATACAGCTTAGTAAAAAAGTTTCCATATGAACTGAAAGGCACAAGCCAATGAAAACTTTGTCCAAATAAATGTGAAGGCCTTAGAAGGATAGAAGCAGCCTCCTGAAAGCTAGCTTCATTGGCCACCCTTAAAAAGGTTGACAAACATTTTAAGTAGTAAAAAGAAAGACATCATGAAATTTCAACCTGAAATACATCACACTCAGTTGTGCTGAAAAATATTGAGATAAACTACTAAACACTGCAAAGACATGTATAAGTATAGAGTCAACTTGGAAATCATGCCAACTCACCAATAATTTATAATCATGAGGATCATACTGAAAGAGTCTGATACCAGGGTTATTGGTCTGTTTTTGTGAAATTCTCTTCACTGGTGTAACAGCAGGAGCCACAAACAAAGAATTTACAGGGTTTCCTGGATAAAACATATACACATAAACATACTTTTTTTAAAAAGTTGAGTCAAACTCTATTAAAATATGAATATGTTCTAGATTAAAATATTAATAGATATGATAGTCAAATGATGTGTGATCACTGATGGATTCTGAACTGAATTAAATATATACTTTAGAAAACAGCAGAGGGGCTGGCAGGTGGCATGGTCGTTCAGGGCGCTGGACTATCACATGTCCGAACAGGTTCGAGTCCTGGACCTGGCAGCTTCCTCACTCTCTCTCTCTCTCACTGCCAATAAAAAAAAAAAAAAAAAAAAAAAAAGTTTGGAGACAACTGGAGCTTGGTCACTCTCTATCTCTCTCTCTGCCAATTTAAAAAAAAAAATGAATGAATAAATAAAGTTAAATAAATAATTATTTAAAAACAAAAAAGAAAACAGCAGAATTTTTTTGCATTGATATCAAAGAATTATCATTGGTCTTATTAGGTAAGTTAATGTTATTGTGGTTATATAAATTATCTGTGTATTTCAGCAATAAATGCAGGCATATGTAGGGTTGAATAGATGTGATATTTCAGATTCTCTGTCAAATAATTCAACAACAACAAAAGATAGAGAGAGGTGAAAAGAAAAAAAGGGATAGGTCAGGTAAATATGGCAAATTCTCATAAATGTTGAATAAGTGATAAGTACACAAGGGTTTGTTGTATCATCCTCTCTGCTTTTATATGTATTTGAAAATGTTTATAATACAAAAAAATCCAAGTTGCACCTACTAAAACATCTACAACTCTTATTTTGTTAATTCTCTGTTTCTTCCTAGAGAACCTTCTAGTGTTTTCTTTTTCTTTTTTTTTTTTTTTTTTTGCCATAGGGCATGTGAACTTGGCAGAGAGGGAGAGAAAGAGAGAGAGAGAAAATTAGAATTCTCTCTTTGGGGGAGATGGTCACGAAGCAGCCCTTCTCCTCTCAGGATTTGGGACACATATGTACATGTGCCTGACGTGTTTTTTAGAACATTAGGTCTAAGATTCAAATCCATGGAGTTGACCATGTGGGATCCGGCAACTTAATCTTTATGCCACCTGCTGGCCCTAGATTTTCCTTTTAATGCTGAGTAGGGGACAATGTCAACAGGCACTTACAAGTGCCTGTTAAACCACTATAATGTACTTTGCTTTTTAAGTTCTGAGAAATAAAAGTCATATCAAAAGACACTTGAATCTAGCAGGTAAATAGCAGACAGTAATATCTCCCTAAACTCAAGGATCTGAAAGAAATTTCACCCAGCTAAGGATTTCAGGGCCTTCTGTGTTTAACAACGAACAAAAGATGCTGGCCCTGTGGTGCTAGTAGGAGCTTTGGTTGAAAAGATCAACCATCATCTCCTTATGATGTGGACACTGGTCATATGATCATTGAAGGTCATTCGGAAAAAGCTACTGCTTGTAGTTTTTAAATGAGACTTGTAATTCACTGAATCAGCAAATTTACTGGGTATTTCTTTCTTTGCCCTAGCATCTTGGACTAGGGACACGCAAACAGAAGACCACATTACCTTTTTTATCTGAAAGAACCATAATGCTATCCCTGTGAGTGTGTCCATAAAATTGTCCTGCAATGATATTACTGTATTTTCTAAAAATATCTATCAATTTCTCATTGTAGTATCCCCTTATTGCTGTGTTGCTCCCTGGGAAAGGCAGATATCCCACTGGCACATGGGCTATGATGTACACCTGGAAAAAGAAATACAAGAAGCGCTCATAAGAATAGTTTAATACATTTATCATAATTAAGCAGCATTTGGATACCTAAGATTAAAAGTCTATCCATTCAAATTTAGAAAGCAAATATACTATATCTCCAACTTATGACCGAAAAGGATAAAATTATGAAAGTACTAAGTCGCTGTATTTACACTCATTTCATTCATAGAACACTGTTGCTGATATAATGTAACTATGCACCTGGTCACAATTTTTTAAATCAACCTAGTTTATATCAATTGATGTCAAACAAAACCAAATAAACAGGGATGACACATAAGGTGTTTCTTGTGAAAACGTATTCAAATTCTTATACCTTTATGAATACCTGACTCCACCTCATGTTAAAGAAATATGTAAACTTAGCCTTCTGTTAATCCCCTGATGATTTTGGTGTATAGGATCTACCTTCTCCTTATTGTTCTGAGAGTTGTTCAGTGTATTTTCTAGCCATTCAAACTGATTTGCTGGGTCAGTCTTGTTCAGGGTCACAACATTTGGGACATAGTACAAGTTTGTGTTCAGACTGATGATCCTAAGGCTCGGATTATTTGGAACCTTCTGTGAATAAAAGCCACCTATAAAATGATTTTAAAAACACAGTTTAGAAAAAGACATACACAAATATGCATACATTGTGAAAGCAAATTCTCAAGGTTTACAATCCATTCAGGAAACTTGTAACGATTTTTCAGTGTCTAGTTTGCATATAGAGGGACTGTCATCAGACAAAAATCAGTGTTAACACACATTAACTGAAAACCTACTATGTGCCAGATCCAATGTTGGAAGTTCACATACTGTAGAAACAGTTGTATCTAATCTTCTGATGAAAAGATAATTAAATGTTTGGGCAGTAAGCAATGAGGCTGAATTTTATAAAAGAAAGATATATACATCAATCTCTACTTGTATATGACTGAGGAGTAAGATGAGAGATGCTGTGACATAAAACCCAAAGAATGGGAACACACATGGATCTTGCTGGAGGCAATGAGGAGAAAACGTCAGATAAACCAGAGCTGCTCTAGTCTCAGTGGAGTGGACAAGAGGCTTAAAGGAATAATCCCACTCATGCCACTGAACCAGAGGGGAAGGAGCCCCCCAAGGGTCTGCCCCAAGGGTACTGAGATCTTGGACCCGGGCTCACTGCGCTCACTCACCATCCACGCCTTTCCTTAGCTTTCAGTCATGAGCAATCACTGCCTTTTTCATTTCCTTTATTCTCTCCTGCACTCATAATGCCTTGTAATGTTTACCATGGTAGTTTCAGGGAAGATAGGCTTGAATATGTTGTAAGTCCATTTTGGAGAACTGCCCCTTGTGCCCTAATAGTAGAAGATGACAATAGTTCTCACTTGAGGTTCTGAGATGACAAAGTCTGAGGCCTTTCATACAGAGCATCTCTGCTCCAAATACTTTTTCTTTTAAGACTTTCAGAGAAAGCCTTCCATGACTTTCAAACTTCATATGGGATTCCAGTGTTTAACTGCAAATTGATGGATATTGTAGGAATGAGTACCACTGTGACACTCAGATACTTTTTTCTCATGGCCAGCATTTCACTTGTCAGCTCCTATCTGCCTGCACTTCTCTGCTTTCAGTTGAGCCTCCTTGGAAACCAGTGTCTAATTACGCATCTTGATTGTTCTTTGCGGTTTTCCTTTAGCTTGCATAAACTCTCCATGTGCATCTCTGGCTTAGAGGTAAAACTAGATACAGGTCTCCGAATAAATGAGGACCATGTCTTAATTCTAAGACAGCAGGTCTAAACTCAAATATAGTGTGATTTGCCAGGTTCTGCAAACATCAATAACAAAATAGTGACAAAAGTCAAAAGTTTAAGAAAAATAGAGAAAGAAATCTTCCAACTGAAAGAAGTCTAGATATTAACTTAATATTTGTCTCAGAATTTTTTAAATTCAGCCTTGGTTTAACAGCTTAGTACCTCAGGGACCTTACAAAATGTGAGGAATTTCCATAATGATGGGTCCAGAGCCACTGAAGCAGGCGGCCTTTAGACACCACCAAGGAAGGCCTGACCACACACTAACTTTTGCAAATGTCTCAAGATCCATGTTAGATGCTTAGTTATCCTCAGTTTACCAGCTGTTTGTCTTATACAATTGTGCTTGCTTGGTTAAAAGTTAGCATCCAGGGCCAGCCAGGTGGCGTGGAAGTGAAGAGGACTGGGCCCCACATAGCTGACTTGTAATTTGAGTCCTGACCTGGTGTCCTGGAAGACACACCCAGCACTTGAGTGTGTATGCCCAAAATCCTGAGAGGAGAATGGAGGAGAAAGGACTGTGGCCTGGCCACCCCCTGGGGGGTTATTTCTCACTTTGCCTCTCTCTCTTCTCTGTCTCTGTCTCTCTCTAGAGAGTGAAAGTGCCTAACAAATTATTTTTCAATTGATTTGAAAAAATAGTGTCGGGACCAGCAGATGCTATAGCGGTTATGACACTATACTCTCACATAGTCAATCCAGGACCCGGCAGCTTGAAATTCACAGTAGGCACATGTGCGTGCCTAAGATCCCGAAAGGAGACTGGAGGAGAAGGTATTGCAGCCTGGCCATCTCCCATGGGGGGTGATTTCTGTCTCTGTCTCTCTCTGTTTCTCTGGCAAGTGCATGTGCTCTATAGCAAAAATCTCTCAAGAGAAAATAAATAGTGTCCATTCTCTTTTCTCAATCAGTTTTCCTATGAGAAACATATCCTAGATTGTTGAAAAAGTCATGATGCATTTTTGCATAGAAAAACAGAAAAATACACCATGACTTTTCCAACAACTCAGTACTTTTATTTACATTCAACTCCAAAGAATGGCTTTTGCTTCATGTGGAACACACCTGATGGAAGATAGAAAGAAGTGAAGAGCTCCTGACAAGATAAACAGGTTTGAAACTTGTGTCTCATGGCTGTGTTGCTACTGGCTGTCTGCCAGTAAAACTGGAGGCACTCCAGAATCAGCACATCGGAGCAAGCATTACATCTAAGTCTAAACAATGAGAACAAAGAAGGAAAGCAAAAGTGGGATACGTTTTCACTTACCTTTCCTTAAAGTACCAATAGCTTCTTCATCTAGCCATGGTTCCCAGAGGTTTGCTACTGCATTGTACACTTTGCTGGAGGCTATAGGCAGCTGATCCTGGCCACAAAAATATAAGCCACCATTGAAACTTTAAACAACTATGGATTGATTAATTTCAACCCTACTTGTGTTCTTACTACTGTTTTAGGCATCTAGGTACACAGGTGAACACTAGATTCAGCCTAGGGAATCAATCAAAAGGGCTAGGCAGACGACATATGATCAATAACAACAAGATGATGGGTGCTATCAGAAGTCTTGAGGGTAGAGACGCAGGAACAATCAGGTCAGGATGGAGAGCAGAGAGCCTTTGAACCCGACCTTGAATAATCATTCCCTCACATTGACAAGAAAGTTCACCAGGCACGAACACAGCAGCATGAAGGTATGTGTGGTATACAAAGAAAAACTGGTACTTTGGTGTGGCCAGGGTATATGACAGATGCGGGTGTGTGCTCGCTAACAAGACATCGGAGGCAGATTTGAACCAGAACATGCAGGACCTGGTGTCATATCCTGAAGGAATGGAGAAAACTTTATGATTTTAGAATTTAATAAAATCCTCATTATTTTCATTTCTATTTCAGAAATGTTAAAATTACTGTGAAGTTTCTTAACTCCTTGAAAGATTTATAACCACGGGACCAGCAGTTGGTGTAATGGCTATGTCTCTGGACTCCCATGTAGTTGACTGTGGTTCTAGTCCTGGACCCGGCAACTTAAACTCACGCTGGGTGCATGTGCGTGCGTGCCCAAGATCCCAAGAGGAGAATGAAGGAGAAGAGATGGTGGTGTGGCCGTTCTCCCTGGGGGATGATTTCTCGCTTTCTGTCTCTCTGTCTCTCTCGGTCTTTCTGGTGAGTGCATGCGCCTATAGCAAAAACCTCTCTGAAAAAAAAAATCAGATTTATAACCACATGTTTTTGGTTTTTCGAAGAAGTATCTATGGCAGCCTAAAGTATATCAACATGTTTTCATTTTAAAAATAATATAAAATGTAAAATATTTTATCAGTCTTTTTATCATATTAATTTAATAATATCATAAAGTATTTATTTTTATACAATGTCTTCATGTGACATAAATTCTAGATAAAAAAAATTTAAGAAAATAAATATTGGTAAAAACCCAGAAATCATATGTAAAAAATAGATCATTATTTATACTTTAAAAAACTATATTTTAAAAAAAGGCCCTTTTCTTCACTTCCCTCATTTGCTTCTGTATTTTGGTAAATAAGCATATTTCTTAGAGGAGTTTCCCTGTCAGTACTAATCAAAATATGTACTTACTTTTCCATATACATTCAGGGAAATTAATAACCAAATGACTTGTTTTAACTGGAACTAATTACCCAAAATGCATTTTCAATCTATGTCAGAGATCAGGAAACTACCTGAGAATTATATACTGGTTTACAGAAATCTAGGTTCTAACTAAAATTTGGCAATATTGCAATTATGTAAAGCCCACACATTTTTTTTTTTTTTTTTGGAGAGGTTTTTGCTATAGGGCACATGCGCTCGCCAGACAGACAGAGAGAGACATAGAGACAGAAAGCGAGAAATCACCCCCCAGGGGGGATGGTCACACCGCAATCCCTTCTCCTCCATTCTCCTCTCAGGATCTTGGGCATGCACACACACGCGCCTAGCGTGAGTTCTAAGCCACCGGGTCTGGGACGCGAACCGTGGTCGATTACGTGGCAGTCCAGCGACATAGCCATTACACTAACTGCTGGTTCCCAAGCCCACACATTTTGACCATTTGTTTACTTTAGGGTAAATGCCAAAGTATGGTATGGTAATATTGAATCTTAAAACCACATAGAAATCAGACTAGACTTTCCTATTATTTTACATATGAGAAATATGAGTATCAGAGAGGTTAGGTGATTTATCCAGAAGCAGCTGGTCAGTCCCACAGCTGGGTCTAAATACCTAGTTCTTTCTGTCATCACCTTACAGCCAACTATCCATGGACCAAGGTACCTTCTCAGTCCTTTGGGGCTGTGACATAGGCACTGCTAGGAAATGAGGTATACTGGAAAATGACCTACCCATAAGTTTGGTAGCACCGGTCTTGCCAGTGTAGGAGTAAATGAGCCCCTGATTCAGACTGTTTCCTTGGGAGGACACAGGATGGTTGCCCTGGGCTGCCCACATCAATACCTACTTATGATCGAATGGGTGGGGATGTGTATCTGTACATGGGTGTTTATGAAGTTACGAGCATGTTTACAGAGTTCTGATGGAAAAATAACTTCTCAAATTTATTTTTCCTAATATTCTCCAAAAATGGATCTCGGATATCATCCTTTAGGGGACTTTGTTGAAAACCTTATATGTTACATTTGACATTTCTAAAACTGTGAGGCAAAAAGATAATAGTAGTGTAACAGAAAAGTATTTTCAGATATAAAGGCATGAACTAAAAAGAGAAAATGATGAGCTGTTTAAAGTATACACTCTGCCATCTTACCGTAATGTATATATAATGGGATATTTTATAGAAGTTAGATAGTATCTAGATCTTTGTATTATTTTAAGATTTGACTTGATGAATAGAAGGTAGAGATTAACATAAAATAAAACAAATTTCCAAGAGATTCAGAAAAATGTAATCTGAGTCACTTCTTTAATGCTCAATAACCACCATCCCATTTATTGAGGGCTTATTATGTGCAGGTTATTAAGCTATATCTTATATAATCACTAATTCTCACAAAAAAATTTTGTTTTTACAAATAGGTGACCTATAGGTCAGGAATATTAAGTGAATTATCTTAGTCAAACTATTAGAAGGAGGACACAGGCTAGCCCCATAGTCTAGTGGTGAAGGCAGCTGGATCTCACGTGGCCAATCATGGCTTGAATCCTGGCTCTGGCATCTTGAAAAACACACTGGGGGCGGGAACCAGCAGTTAGCATAATGGCTATGTCGCTGGACTCCCACGTAGTTGACCACAGTTCACGTCCTGGACCCGGTGGCTTAAAACTCACGCCGGGCGCGTGCGTGTGCATGAGGATCCCAAGAGGAGAATGTTGGATCCCAGGATCCCGAGAGGAGAATGGAGGAGAAGGGATTGCGGCATGACCATACCCCCTGGGGGGTGATTTCTCACTTTTTGTCTCTATGTCTCTGTCTGTCTGGTGAGCGCACGTGCCCTATAGCCAAAAAAGATTTCAAAAAAAAAAAAAAACCAACACTGGGGGCATGTGCTTGTGTGCCCAAAATCCTGACATGTTAGAAAAATGGAGGGGTAGTGATCACAGCATGACCACACCTTATGTGTGTGTGTGGGGGGGGGTTGGGGCGGGTACTTTCTTCTTCCCTCTTTCTCTTTATCAAGCACACATACCATCTGGCAATTATTACTTAAAAAAAAGAAAAGCAGAGAAGGATAGGGATTAAAATTCTAATAAACATGACTCTAAACCTTGTATGTTTTCTCATATTGCCAGTCTGCAATCACCTAAGGCATAAAAAGCAGTATATGTAACCTTGCGTTCCTAGATATGGTTTATCTTCAAGCCTCCGCACTGTGTAGTGTAACAACTTAACGGTAGCAGTAGCTGACATGATTGAGAAACTGACTTGCATGTTTTTAATTTCAAGATTGGATGCCAGGGCCGAGAGGCCATGTGATATTTAAGCTTGCCTAGAGAAGACTTTCCTTCTCTTTTTTTTTTTTGATAGAGTTTTTTTCTATATAGGGTGCATACACTTGCTAGTGAGACAAAAAGCAAAAAATCACCCCCGCTCCCCCAGCAGGGATAGCCAGACCACAGTCCCTCCTCCTCCATTCTCTTCTCAGGATTTTGGGCATACATGCACACACACTCAGTGTGAGTCTTAAGCTGCAGAGTCCAGAACTCCAACCGTTGACTACATGGAAGTCCAGCAATGTAACCATTGTGCCATCTACTGGTCCCTAGAGTACACTTTTCAAAAGCACTCTATTCAGGTTAGATTAGCTAAAATACTCAAAACCCTCACTTGCACCCATTTGATATTAATGGAAAGATTATTCTAAGCAAACATAAAAATGCAGACAAAGTAAGTATCATGTTTAGGAAATACTGAGTGTAGTAGTCGGGCAAGAACAAGATATGAAAAGATGTTAATCTATCTGAGCACAGGACTTGGGTAATAAAAACCCACACTCAGCTTAAATGTGAGCACTTGGACAAGCAACTTAATATTTCTCACCCAGAGAGGATGAATGGAAACATAGCTGTGTTCCAGTAAAACCTTATTTACAAAAAGAGTCAATGGGTCACAGACCACAGTTTGCGAAGCCCTGGACTAACCAACAATCTGTGGGATATCTCTAACTGCACAAATCTAAGAGTCTACATAATAGAACCTTATAACCATAACTAATTCCCAACTATTATGCACAGAGTGTTTAACAAATGACCACTTTTAATATTTAATGCTATGCTGGGCATTAAATATTCTGAATAGAGTCTCTGCCTTGAATCACATCATAATTTAAACTGCACTCAAACAGAAATCTCCCTCTTTGGTTCTTATGATAGTTTGTTATGTTTCTAATTACAATCTAGCTTGAATTACAGTGTGCAGACCTTTGTATGCCTAGTAGGAATTCTGTAAAATGTAAATATTTGTCAACATTACTCTTTTTTGATAACTCTGTCAAGAAAATGCAAATAAGAAAATTATTTTAAAAAGAGAGAAATTAAAGAAGTTAATGAAGGAAAACAGGAATTAATAATCCATGAATATGGATTAATGAGTATGCAATTTGATTCTGATAGCTTATTATTGACATAATCTCTTATGAATATATTTTTTTAACTTTTTAAATTCTCTAAAGCACTGTGTTACCTTCCTTGATGACTAGCATTATACGCTCTACCTCCATAAGGCCCATTCCCATGTCCTACCACTAGCTAATTGTTATCATAAATTTTACACTACCAATCAGAAAATCTTTTAAGCACTTCTGAAAGAAGATGTCAGATTTACCTGTGGCCAATAGTCATGATTACCCAAGGCTGGGAAAACCTGGAGATTTGGAAAAAGACTCCGGACTGTGATTGTCATATTAGTGATCACATTTATAACAGTGTCTGTTGAGAGTTGAGGTACTGGAACATGAGGTGGGCTATCCCTGAAGAAAAGAATCATAAAGAACAAAATGAGCTTTGAAAAGTGTCACTAGACTGATGCATGATTCCTTGCTGGACCCATCGCTGCAGACTTCCACTTCAAAAACAGCAGGCGCAAGTTCAAGAACCGAAACACTACTCTTTACCTACCTCTCCTCCAGAGAATTCTATAAAAATTATCATGAACAATAATGTCATAAGTATAAACAAAACTGCAAATCCCTAACTATTTCACTGCCTGGGGGAAGATCCATGAGAGACAAGTATCTAGTGGTTGGATTTTGGCAGTTACCAGCTGGGTACACTTGAAAAAGTTATTTAGATGCTCAGTGCCTTCATTTCCTAATCTGTAAGATGAAAATAATAATAACAATATCTATTATATGATCAAATAAGTGACAGTGTATAAATTAATTAAAACAATGCCTAACACAAAGTACACATTCTCTAGTATTATTAGCCTTGGTCATTATTCCAGAAATATAAAACTCTTTACTGTGCCATGATGGAAGGAACTAGTTAGTTCTCTGACCAGAAAATGGTACTTTACAATACTGCCATTGTAGATGAACTCCCATTGGTATCTTTTGCCTTTGATTATTTAATCAAGATCTATTATCACATTAATCAACACCTCAAGACATTAATACAAGTGTGCTCATTATAGATCATCTCTTAGTACTGACATATTTTTAAAGTCTGTAATTCTTTTAAAAAAGAAAAGAAAGCAGAGCTTCCATAATGGCTCTCATTCTTAATGATATTGATGAATTTGACTTGGTATTTTTCAACCAGAATAATTCTTAAAACAATTAATCTCCCAATGGGAATTCAACATTCTAAAGAAGTATAGCACACTCTATTAGATAAATACTGAACAATTAGTAGCATGATCACTTACCCTGTCCATATCATAAAAGATACTTCTTGTCCTGAATTTTTCATAAAATCAAATGCTGATAAAATAAGTCGATATGGAGAATCACATAGAACATCTCCAAATGGTCCAGGGTTAGAAGCATTTTCACCTTTCGATGAAGAGCACACTTTGGTATGGTCTTCTGTGATGTGGTAGGTAGGGTCCAAGTGCAGGTCAGTCACGTGCCAAAACTGGCCTGTTGGTAAGAAAAGAAATACTGATACACCTACTTCTTTCCATTTGAAATTATCATACATATTTATAGTAAGACTAGACACAGTTGCTATTCCCTAGGAGAGATAAAAGCCATGGTAACTTAAATATTCACATGCTATGAAGTTTAATACCATCTTAGGATCAAAAAAGCAGTCTGAAGAATTTACTACCTATGTGTGTCAGAATGGATGAACTCAGTATTAGCAATGACTATATGACAAGGTAAGTTTGCATAATGAAATATAAAGACATCCTTCCAGGAGGTCAATGATAATATTACATTGTGTCTTAATAGCATGTTTGCTTACAGAATTTAAGATTTTAGGAAATATTTACATTCTTCTTAGAAAGTTTGACATGAAAACATAATGTAGTACGTCAGAGTTGCTTACTGAATAGACTGCAGAAAAAGAAATACCTCTTGCTCTTAATGTCTTATATAACCTTGCTTTTCAACATTAATGGGGAAAAAAACATAAATTTTTAATCTTTAAGCCAAAAATAGAAATTCCCAGAGGTTCATAAAAGCTATTTTAAAAGAGGTACATCTTCTATCATGTCCTTGTATAAAAGGTTAACAGGGCTGGCTCCGTGACACAGCCGTAACATGTTGCTCAAGAGACACTAGCTCTATATGGAAAATCACAGGTTTGGTTCCTGGGTCAACCAGTGCACACAGAGTGCACCCCTGACCCTGGCTGACTAGAAAGGCTGGGGGGAAGAAGAGTTGCAGCATGAGACTCTATTGGGAGTGACTGTCTTTCTCTCTTTCCTTCTGCCTTACTCTTATGAAAGAAAGAAAGAAAAACTGTTAATAATATTAAGGAAAGCAAATGGATAAAGAAGATGCTACCATTGGGTTTTCAGGAAGAAAACAAACCCACT